AAGAGATCTAACATAGAACACCTTTAAATCCAGAGTTCTAATGGTAAATATATTAATATTAATGCTTTTTTTCTAAATAGCTGAGCAGAAGAGACAAATGAATAGTGCAGGGGTCTGCAACCCGCGGCTCCGGAGCCGCATGTGGCTCTTTTACACCTTTGCCGCAGCTCCAGGGCGGATACTAGCGAGGGGAGGAGGCGCATTGTGCGCCCTGACACTCCCCACTGTGGCGGGCACTGTACTGGCTGTGACGTCGCATGGGGGTGGTGCGTGTGTTAGTCACGCACCGTTCCGACGTCACCTTCCCGCCTGCTGTCAGATTGTGGCTCCGGAGATATATTTGTTTTAAATGTCGCAATGGTTTTGCAGCTCCCAGTTTTTTTTTCTTCGGAAACAGGTCCAAGTGGCTCTTTTTGTCTTAAAGGTTGCAGACCCCTGGAATAGTGTTATCAATGGCCTGCGGGTGCTGTATTCAGGGTTTGTTTTATCTATTGCTCAAATATAAGTTGGCATTATGCGTTTTACGTACTTTGAAAGCTAACATGGGTAGCTATTATCCGCCTCCTTGGGCTATTAAAATCTGACAGTTGTCAACAAGAATATGCATAGCAATAACATTGCCCAAGTGTTGGTGGATTTCCCCACCTCTCAATAAATGGCATTAAGTGTTGCATGTGAATCTGATATATTTATGTTACTTGCTATGATTGTGACATAGATTATGGTTCCTATGTGCTCTATCCACACCCTTCAAAAGCTGCTCCTGTGGCTTGGGGGACCCTGTGGAACAGTAGGGGACATGGCCTAGAAGACTGCCATAGATAGGGTAAATTGGATGCCCTATGTTGTATAAGTGAATTCACTTTTCTGCCAGCGCAAATCCACTATGGCATATAACCCATTGTTGTCCTTCTAATTATTATTTTGCTGCTGCCATTTAATCTATTGTGTGTGGTGCACTTACAGCTTCTGGCTGCAAAACTAACATTCAACATAACCTCTTAAAAACAACAAAGACACTGTTTTAAAGCTTCTCTTGCTGAGAGCTTTGTTTACTGCACAGTATTGGGATTTTGCCCATGCAGATCCTTTAACTGATTGCTGTCTTTCTGTTTCTGTACAGACATGCTTTTAATCTCACCATTGTAAGGGAAATCCTCCCAGAAACTATTGTTAAATGCTTCTCACTCCCCCGAGTGATGGGAAAATCCAGGGGCAGTATTACCAGATTTTGTTTCCTAGGGAGCAAGAGAGCAAGGAAACTTACAGCATCTTAGCAAGATATGCTTTGTTGACAAATGGGCAAGCACAGCGTAAGTGGATGCATACAGACTCTCCCTAGAAGGTAGCAGATCTACTATTCTGCATCAGATCCCCAGATAGGGACCCCCTGCAGTCCTAGGTGCTTTGCCTTCAGCCAAATCACAGCAGTCTCAACTCACATTTTGGGTAACTTAAACAGCAGGCAGCCATTGCGGACAGGAGCCATATAGACTCATAGATTCACAGAGCTGGAAAGGACCCTGAGGATCATCTAGTCCAACCCCCTGCAATGCAGGAATATGCAGGTGTCCCTTACAAGGATCAAACCTGCAACCTTGGCATTGTCAGCACCACACACTAACCAACTGAGCTATCCTGTGTGTATGCCTGACCTGGTTGATGTTGGGGCAATGTCTGTTTTCTTTGAACTCTCTGTTGATAGTGTAGACAATTGCTCCCATCTTTTAAATATCTGAATCCATCCACAAATCTCACTTGTCCTTTCTCTATTCCACACCTTGAAAATTCTTTCAATACTTCCTCATAAATCACACATTCTATCTGCATTAGTATCTCAGCAGCTTCCTTCTGCATTATTTCCATCTTGTCAATATACATCTTAAACAAATCACAAAACTCCAGTTGTGGTATAGCAGTGCTCTGCTACCATCTTCCAAGTCTTGGGAAATAACTGTAGCAATCTTATGAACACAGACTAAGATGAGACAACTCCATCTCCCATCTTAATCTGTGTTCATAAGATTGCTACAGTTATTTCCCAAGACTTGGAAGACGATAGCAGAGGACTGCTATACCACAGCTAGAGTTTTGAGACATTTCACTTTGTTTGTTTATCCAGTTTATGTTCCCCTCTTCTTCTCAAAGGAATACAGCATGGCAAACACATCAACAACAAAAAAGCATTTTAAATACAGTGGTACCTCAGGTTAAGTTCTTAATTCGTTCAGGAGGTCTGTTCTTAACCTGAAACTGTTCTTAACCTGAAGCACCACTTTAGCTAATGGGGCCTCCTGCTGCTGCCGCGTCGCCGGAGCACGATTTCTGTTCTCACCCTGAAGCAAAGTTCTTAACCCAAGGTAATATTTCTGGGTTAGCAGAGTCTGTAACCTGAAGCGTATGTAACCTGAAGCGTCTGTAACCTGAGGTACCACTGTACAGTTATAAAAACATCATGTCAACCAGTGATTCTAGCTGTCACAAACAGTATATTTCAGCCATCAAACGCTTGGGTAAACAGAAACATTTAAAAAATTGTCCTGAAAGTTAGCAATATTGGAGTCAGACACACCTCACCAGGGACAGCATTCCACAAATAGAGAACCACCACTGAAAAGACCCTGTCATCAACCAGGCAGCCCCCAGCGGCAGCACTACTGAAAAGGTCTCCCCTGCCAATCATAGGGTGTAATATTGGTTGATACTTGTTTGCGTCATCTTCAATATGTTATCCAATATAGCGCATTCAACATAAATTCTTGTGGCACCTGAAAGCCTAACATAGCATAAGCTTTTGTGGCTCGTGGTCTTCATCAGATACATGAAACATTATACTGAATTAGCAAGCATACAGACACAATTCAAGATTCCAGTTTATGCATCTGATGAAGTGGACTGTGGTCTATGAAAACTTACACCTTGGCTTTTAAGCTTCTACAAGGTTCTTCGTTGCTTCTGCTACAACAGCCGAATATGACTACTTTTCTGGAAATTATGACACCTACCTCTTTCTTGGAATAGCTGTTGACATACCATCATTATTAGATTTGTATTGTATGTCTGGAATCTTCTTAAATCATTTATTAGGAACACAATGTACTTTTGTAGCACTTTTATCTACCGTAAGTGCTTTTAAAATGAGTGTAAAAGTAAGAACTAAGATGTGCCTCTTATGCAGAGCTAAGTGAAAGGAACCATGAAAAAGGGCACCAGAAAGTGTTGTTGCCAGATTTGCATCCTTTTATGCCATTGCACTCACAGGAATCACTGGGTGTGCATGCACCCAGATGCACATCACACCCACCATGTGGTCTCCTGTGGATTATTTGTCCCAGCATTGCCTCTCTACATTTAGTGGTATGGAGCAAACACAGCAGATTTGTTTACCTGAGATCTCGAATCCTGCTATGTAGAAGGATCAACTTTTCTTTCTACTGACCCAAACATGGAAAGCTATGGAAAAGGTGGGGATGAGGCAGCTTTCCCCCACCCCACCATCAGCCTTCTTCAGATAGGCATTCCATCAGGAGGAATAATAATTATTATTTATTTAATTTGTATACTGCCCTATACCCGTAGACCTTAATTCCGGAATTAAGATTGCTGGAGGAAATATCAACAACCTCAGATATGCAGATGACACAACCTTGATGGCAGAAAGTAAGGAGGAATTAAAGAACCTTTTATTTAATGAGGGTGAAAGAGGAGAGCGCAAAATATGGTCTGAAGCTCAACATCAAAAAAACGAAGATCATGGCCACTGGTCCCATCACCTCCTGGCAAATAGAAGGGGAAGAAATGGAGGCATTAAGATATTTTACTTTCTTGGGCTCCATGATCACTGCAGATGGTGACAGCACCCACGAAATTAAAAGACTCCTGCTTCTTGGGAGAAAAGCAATGACAAACCTAGACAGCATCTTAAAAAGCAGAGACATAACCTTGCCAACAAAGGTCCGTATAGTAAAAGGGTTTTCCCAGTAGTGATGTATGAAAGTGAGAGCTGGACCATAAAGAAGGCTGATCACTGAAGAATGGATGCTTTAGAATTATGGTGCTGGAGGAGACTCTTGAGAGTCCCATGGACTGCAAGAAGATCAAACCTATCCATTCTGAAGGAAATCAGCCCTGAGTGCTCACTGGAAGGACAGACCGTGAAGCTGAGGCTCCAATACTTTGGCCACCTCATGAGAAGAGAAGACTCCCTGGAAAAGACCCTGATGTTGGGAAAGATGGAGGGCACAAGGAGAAGGGGACCACAGAGGACGAGATGGTTGGACAGTGTTCTCGAAGCTACCAGCATGAGTTTGACCAAACTGTGGGAGGCAGTGGAAGACAGGAGTGCCTGGCGTGCTCTGGTCCATGAGTCGGACACGACTAAACGACTAAACAACAACAACACCCGTAGATTTCGGGGGGCGGGGAGGCAGCACCACAACAGAAGACTCAGCCCCTGAACTATGCTCATTCACTGTGTTCATGATCATCACTGTGTTCATGATTCACTGTCTTCATGATCAGGAACCCTGCACAGAGAGAGCCTTCCCCTTTGCATGTACAGCTATAGGTGTGGGGGGACTCTTCGCATTATAATACTGTAAATGCACCCTGCCCAGACAGAACCACTATGCCACTCATGGGCATTCATATTGAATGTCTAAGGGGTCAATAGTATCCAGAGAAATTCCATTCCCTGGATTGCACCTTAGTGTTTTCACGTACGATAAGGAAATGGTTTCCCATTCATTCCTATGGAGAAAGTGAAGCAGCAGCGCTCCTCACACAGCCTTGTTTACCAGCTGTGTCATTTCCTTTTGCCGACCCATTGCGCTGGGGCAAATTGTGGCCCTCCGGATGAAGGTGGGACTCCAATTCCCATCAGCCCCAGCCAGCACGGCCAATGGTCAGGGATGATGGGAGCTGGAGTCCAAAGAACAACAACAGGTTGCCAGAGCCAAACAGCCCGGCGCTCTGCCTGTGGCCAGACTTCAGACGTAGGCGCGCAGGGCTGCGTGCGGGTACAGAGAGAGAGAGATGAGGGCGAGGAGAGATGAGGCTGCCACTAGAGACCGGAGCAGCCGGGATTGCGGCAGCCGCGAAAGGTGAGCGAGGCGGCAGCGACGGCGCAGCTGTAGGCAGGCTCTGCTCCGGGCAGCAGCGCGCAAAGTTCCCCCAGGAGGGCAGCCTTCCGGGTTCCTCTCCCGCCTCCGGGAGCGGGGTATGAAAGGATGCCCTGATGGAGCGCAGCGGCGGGCTCCAGCTGCCCCTCTGCGGCCGGCGGCTCCCGCCTCGCCAAGCAGGCAGCAGCGTCGCGGGGAGCCGATGGGGCGCCGTAGAGAGACCGCGAAGCAAACACCGCTTGGCGCCCTGAGGCGGGCGGCGCGCGCCGCTTGCGCCGAGTGAGAGGCGAGGCGATGTTCAGCAGCACCAGGCCGGCGGCGGCGGCGGCGGCGGCTCCCTAGGCTGGGCTGAGCAGCGCTGGGAGCAGCTCTGAGGGGGCCTCTTTCGACAGCTCCTCCCGGGGAGCTTCGCGGGCCCCGCCGGCTTGCTTGGCGCCAGGGGCGGCGAGGCGGCAGCGGAGGGATGGGCTGCGCTCCCAGCATCCACGTCTCGCAGAGCGGCGTGATTTACTGCCGCGACTCGGACGAGTCCAACTCCCCGCACCAGACCACCACCATCTCGCAGGGCACCGCCGCCACCTTGCACGGCCTCTTCGTCAAGACCGACGCGGCCGACTCCATCCCGTCGGTCCTCGCCTACCAGAGCCGGCAGCCGCCGCCGCCGCCGCCAAACTGCCCGGCCCACAGGCGCAGGAAGCCCGCCGGCCGAGAAGGCAGGAGCGGGGTGCACCACTGCTGTGGCGTCGAGGCGGAGACTCAGACCAGCCAGACCGACGTCAAGGTAAAGGAGGCAAGGGGCGGGTTGGTGCCAGCACCGCGCAGGACAGCCTTGGGGGGCGAGAATGGGAGACTCAGCGGGGGGGGGGGGATAAGGTGAAGAAAAGGGTGTGTGGGTGTCCCGTTGCCTCACCAGGTATCAAGGCGACCGCTTGAAGGAACTACCCTAAGCAGGCTTGGACGAATATAGTCATATTTAAAATCCACCCCAGTGGGGCCTATGCACTGGAAGGCAGAAACTTTTGACTGGCAAATCTTTTCCCCGTGGGACACCCTCAATGGCTATTAATTTGAGGTGGCCACCCAAGGAGGGCCTTGGGCTATGGGAGGTGTCCCACTGGGGTGTGAGTGTGTGCTTTTGAAACTTTAGCCTGTGCCAAGTTTACCACCTTACTCCCTTTCTGACCGACTGCCTGACTCCTAAAGGGCAACTTGGGGTGGGTGACTGCCCCCCAAAAAGGGACTTTTAGATGGGTGTCTCTTTTCTTGTTTCCCAGGAGATGAGCAGCAAGAGCCACAAAAAGAGGAGGGGTAAGGAAATGGCAGCAGCAAGTGCGCTCTATGTTTTTGTCTCCTACATGGTGCTGTTTTCACTGGCAGTGGCAAAAAGCCTCTCCTGCTCTGAACGGAAGAGAAGGGAGCATGGTGCTGAAAAGCTGCGGCTTGTGCTGGGCAGAGATGCTGCTGCGGATGCACATGGGATGCAGCTGAAAGGAGCTGTTGCCATGGCACCCCAGTGACTCACTCCTGCTACAGGTCCCTCCCATTCTGGCCAAGTTCTGGTACATGCACATAGGTGACCACACTCACGTACAGTATTGGCAAGCAGCTACAATGCTGAAGCTCAGGGTCAAAGTTACAGCACATCCCTAAGGCTTCTGTGCATTTAGCTTTTGTCAGGCCATTTGCCTTACTCATGAAAAGTGTGCATGCATTTATTCAAATATAGTATTCTAAGATGTGGCAGCAGAAAGATGGGTTAATGCAAAGATGTATCCCAAAAGGACAAAAAGCATGAATTAATTTAAATGTGACAGTTTCCAGAATGGTAGCCATGTTAATTTGTCTGTTGCAGTAAAAACAAGCCGTGGGACCTTAAATGATCAACAGATTTATTATGCCATATTCATGAACTACAACTGATGGAGTGGACTATAGGTATAAATGCTTATGCCGTAATAAATGTTAGCCTTTAGGGTAAGATGCTGCAAGACTTTGTAATAGGAGTGGGAGATGAAGGGTGGGGGATACTGTGTGTCTATCTACCCCACCCCACAGCTTTTTAATATTCTGGATAAACAATATGTAAAACTTAGACTGTTTCTGGGAACCTGATTGATTTTTGTTTACAGTAATGGGCGACTAGGCTGTTAGCAGCCAGAAGTATTCTGAGTTCCTGGGACTGGGAGCCCATAGACTTTAGCAAGATCAAACATATACACAGCCAGGGTGGTGTAATGATTGGGGCATTCAACTTATAAAAGGGAGACCAGAGTCATATCCGTGTTTGCAGTGAAGTCCCGTAGGCAAACTTGGAGCTAGTTATCATCTCTCACCCCAATGTACTACATAGAATTCTGCAGATAAAATGGGATAAATGCATGTTACCTGAACTCTTTGCAGGAAAGATGGGATACAATGGTGAGGAATAAATAAGGCAGGAACCAGTCACAATGGGTAAGGGATATTGAGTTTCTAGCTACAGTATCTCAGATTCATGAAATCAAGGCTAACATCAACATTTAAAAACAGATGTCAGAATTAGAAGAGAAAAAAAGGATAGGAAAGAGGCAGAGACTAATGGCCAAAATGAAAGATCAGCACCAACTAGACAGTGTCCTGGTTCACATGCAATGCTACATTAAACCATGGATATGCATGAGTGAGCAAACATGGGTTCCTGGACAAAAGATCATAGCTGCAGTCAAAACCTGGGGCTTAGTCAGACATCATACTAAGCCAAATCATGGCTTAGCTTTCAATAGTGCAGCAGCAGCAGCACGACCAGAGGAGGTGTGCAGTCTCCAGGCACCTGCATGTTTGCTCATCCACGCTAAGGGCATAAACTGGGCCAGTGTGTAGAAGATAGTACTGAGGTCTGGAGGAAGGACTAGAGAAACAGAATGAGGAAAGGACCAAGAACAGGGTTGTAGGAAAGATAAAGCTACAGTCATTAGCTTAGGACATACTGTTCAAACAGTGACGCTGTTCAGCTTTCTCAGTGGAACCACAATATAGTCTGAAATACCATTCCTGGTACCTGTGAATTAAGACCTCAGAATTAACAGCAGTATAACAGATGGTAAACCTATTGCACTGCAGGTGTTCCCATCATTCTGGACCATTTCCAATGCTGGCTGGAAGACCATTGCCAATAACATCTGGAAGACCACGGGTCCCCACCCTGGCTGCATACAGTCAGTGTAAGATTATGCTTGGCAAAGAGCGAGTTAAAGATCTGGCTATGACAGCTAGAAAAGGGATGGGGGACCTCTACTAGCCCAGATGTTATTGGACTCCAGCTCACATCAGCCCCAGCAAGCATGGCCAATAGTCAGGGATGATGGGATATTCCAACAACATCTTGAAGTGCTGCATATTCCCCAACCCTGTTCTGGACTCATGAAAATAACACATTCAGAATGCCTTCAGATTAAATGGGAATATTCTGTTATCTGATATTGTGTCCTAACATACACACTTGGGTCTCTATATGTATTTGGAGACATGGCGTTTCCCCTACTGTGTAGGTAAATGGGCTGTCCAGTACTCCAGTCGCACAGAGCATGCTGGCAGGAAACCTTTGTAGTTGGGGATGCAACTGGCCAGTGACTTAATCTGGATCACATTTTGTAAATATGAAAACAGATAGATATAAACATAAACACATGAAAAACTCATGCTGTCAACTTGCAACCAGTTTGGCCTTGGCTGGACATTGTAATCTGCATTTGTTGCTACCACTTTCTGCAAACTATTGAGGGAAGGAGTTTGTAAATTGCTTAAAGGTAAAAGGACCCCTGACAATTAAGTACAGTCGCGAATGACTCTGGGGTTGCGGCGCTCATCTCGCTTTAAAGGCTGAAGGAGCCGACGTTTGTCCACAGTTTTTCCGGGTCATGTGGCCAGCATGACTAAGCCGCTTCTGGCAAAACCAGAGCAGTGCATGGAAATGCCGTTTACCTTCCCGCCGGAGTGGTACCTATTTATCTACTTGTACTTTGATGTGCTTTTGAACTGCTAGGTTGGCAGGAGCTGGGACCGAACAACAGGAGCTCACCCCATCACAGGGATTTGAACCGCCGACCTTTCGATTGGCAAGCCCAAGCGGCACAATGGTTTAACCCACAGCACCACCCTTGTCTTAGCACCACATTTAAAAGGAATGGTAAAGAACAGGAAGAGTCTTCAGTGACACCATTCTCCTCTTACCTCCAATTCATGTAGAGAGAAAATGTGCCACTCTGCCAGGAATTTCACTGGGTGGTTTATCCTTCGGTGGGATAGGCAGGCTTACAGCTGCAATGCCATCTGGCTCTCATGCTGCAAGTAAATCATAACTACCTGGACAAATAGTCCCATTCGGGTACAATCTTATAAATCACAGTGGTGTGTCAGCAACCTTAGCAGCATATATGGTGATTTGTTTTTCCTGTTCAGCTAAAGTTTAATTACAGCCCCATCTTTTATAGTCAGGGCAGATTAAAGCAGGTATGTTGAATGGGTTTTGAACTCAGAAGTGAAAGTAAGTTCTTAATTATGCCAATTTGCTTTGCAGATAGCTTAGAAGGCTTTGTGTAGGATTTCTATAAATAGGGGTGCTAGTTAAATGATGAGGTGCTGGCAGCAGTTATCATCATTATGAACCAGTTATATAACTCTATTATAACTTTTTTAGTATTCTTGAGAAGTAGAAAGATGTGTTCACCTCTCTCTTCTTTTATAATACAGTCTGAAAATTCACCATGCAATATTATAACATAGGAAGAGCTAGAAGGAATCAATAACAACACCTATTTGCCATGCTGTGCTACAACAGGGGCAGCACAGAACTGAGAGATTTCTGAATTAAGAAGGCTACCTTAAATGCTTCATAATGCTGGTTTATATTCCAGATTTTGGAAATCTAAAAATATATCAAGTCTAGCTTTTCTTAATGATGATGAGGACCAGAAACCTATTTTCAAGAGATAGCTGAAAATAATTAATAAATTCTTTAGCAACTTGAAGCTGTTGGCTCAGTACACTGCAGAATGCAAGGTCATGTAGTGCGTAAGGCAACATTTTAGGGCACAGAAACCCAGTGCAAGGGTGAGTGTTGAAAAATGTGAAGTTTGGTACATTATTAACAGGTTGTACTTCAAATAGTTATTTTAGTTCTGAGCATTGTTTAGCTAATGAGTGCATTTGTACTGCAGAAATAGTTATCAATATCTCATTCCTTAAATATCAGTCCATTTTGTAGTTTCCTGACACAATGCATACAATACAAAAAAATTTTTTTATAAGAAATAGTAGCATATATGGTATATACTACCAGTTACTGCATCAGTCCAATGAAAGTACTATAGGATTTCCATATGCATGAAAACAAATTGCGTTGTAAGGGCACAAACTAGCCAATAAGCACTATGAAAGTTTTATTATTATTATTATTATTAGGAAATATTTCTTGGCTTCCTGAAAACTGGCTCTGTGTGGCACATCCAATTATAAAAGGTCTTTAAAAACAAATAGCACATGGTCTGTGCTGCAGTGAGCTTTGATAAAGCAATTAAAAATTAACAGGAATAGAAAAGACAAATATTCTTTCAGTAGGAATTCTACCCAGGCAAGGATTTCATCAAAGAGAAGGTATAAAATGAATCAAGAAACAGAATTATACAACTGTAGAGTTGGAAGGGATTCCTGAGCATCATCTAGTCCAACCCTTGAGAAATGTGTTTTTCTCTTCCTGCTGGCTAACTGTACTCCACCCTTGCTTGTTCACGCAACACATAGGTA